GAGGGAGGAGGAGAGCCTGGGGATAACAGAAGCAGACAGACTAGAATCCCTTCCGCTGCAGAAGTAATAAGCATTATTAACATCTCTAGGGGCGCGAGAGTCCATGCTGAGGGATTCCATCCTAGGGTCAGCTCCCAGGGATATAGACAGTTTGGGAGGTTGTGCTTTTTAACCTGGTGGACTTATCAAGGGAATTTTTTTTTTTTTTTTTTAACAGAGTCTCACTTTGTTGCCCAGGCTAGAGTGAGTGCCGTGGCGTCAGCCTAGCTCACAGCAACCTCAAACTCCTGGGCTCAAGCAATCCTTCTGCCTCAGCATCCCGAGTAGCTGGGACTACAGGCATGTGCCACCATGCCCGGCTAATTTTTTGTATATATATATTAGTTGGCCAATTAATTTCTTTCTATTTTTATTAGAGATGGGGGGGGGGTCTCGCTCTTGCTCAGGCTGGTTCAGAACTCCTGACCTTGAGCGATCCACTCGCCTCGGCCTCCCAGAGTGCTAGGATTATCAAGGGACTTAACGTTGGTGTCGGGGGAATCTGGAACTTGTTAGCCTTGGGCAAAGTTACAGACATTGTTGCTCATGGCTAAAATGACCCTACAAGGAACTAAATCACACTTATTTACATATATTTTATTTATATATGTATTTCTAAAACAGCATCCCGGATAGTGTAAAAGGAGAACATTAAAAAAGCTAAATAGAAAGTTACTCAAATAGATAAACAACACACAGCAAAAATCTCATCTTTTAGTAAAAAAATAAAAAGTAACAACAAACACGGGAAACTATTTCCTATGCATCCTTGGTAGTCAGAGCACCATCTCAGTAAAGGAGAGCAAGATGGGAGCACTGCATTGGCTTCAGGGAAGCACACGGAGATGCTTTTGAGGTTCGCATGAATGTGATTTATGGACACTGAGTCCTAGTTTACACATACCAGGAAAACTGAAGTTTAATAAAGAATCTGATGCAAAGTGAACACCCCTTTTTACGAAATGAATATGAACTCCCCCCTTCTTCCTGCAGTTTCTCTTCTTCAGCAGCCTACGTATTTATCTACTGCATTTGCATGTTGCTGTTTCGGGGCTGGTCTAGAAGAGCCACTTGGTTGTGGGTTCTCTGCCTCCCATGCCAATCACCTGTCCTCCCTCCCTCCTTAAGGCCTGCAGAAGTTGATCTCAGTCAAGCAGGCCAGTGGCCACCCACAGTAGCCTTGACCCAGCCACAGGGGGAGTCAGAACATCCCTCCCCAGCCTGAAAGAGGGACCTGGGGGAGCGGGTGGTCTCCTCTGCGTGTTCGAGTTACCTGCCAGATACTCGATGACTGCCGCCATGTAGACGGGGGCGCCCACGCTGATCCGGTACTTGAATGTCCCTTTCTTCAGGTAACGCATCAGTCTCCCCACCGGGAAGATGACACCGGCCCTGGCTGAACGGGACAGCTTGGACATTTTCTTCTTCCCGCTCCGGCCCGACATCTTGCCTCAGTTTCCCTTTCAGCTTGCTGACACGGTGGCCTCCCGGCACTAACACAATGCTGGAAAGGACAGAAGACAGAGTTAAGGAAGGGTGGGGGTGGCAAACACCTTAGACACAGTGGTGTGGCCCTTGGGCACCACTGTGACATGCCGACTGCGCCGAGGAGGCAGGTGAGACCTGGCTGCTGTGCCAGGTGCAGCAGGCAGGGAGTCAGGTGTGGGGTCTTTGAAGGGCGTCGGCAAGCCCACCACAAACGTCTCTCCCCCACCAAACCAGCCCAACAGGAAAGGCCATAGAAAACTGTCACTGGAACATCACCTTAAATGACAAAGGGACTTTGCAGATGTGATTATATTAAGGATCTTGAAATGGGGAGATTATCCTGGATTATCTGGCTGGGCCCAATGTAATTGCCAGGGTCCTTAAAAGAGGGAGGCGGGAGATCAGAGGAAGAGACGCGAGGACAGGAGGAAACAGGTTCTTCCCGCAGAAGAAGAGGGACGGATGAACCAGCCACATGGGGCCAGCCTCACTTTGGCCCAGTGAGACTGGGCCAGGATTTCAGACTTCTAACCCCAGAACTGTGAAAGAATACATCTGATTGTTTTTAAGCCACTACGTTTGGGGTAATTTGTTACAGCAACAACTAGAAAACTAGCACAGATCCTCTCTGCCTATGTGACTACATCCATCAAAATGGTCAGATCTGACCAACGTAATTCAAAGCCAAAGTGTTATTTCCCAGATGGAAACACTTTTCTAAGTTCTCCAGTAATGTAGCATCCTGTACAGAAACAGGCCAGAAAAGGCAGTTTTATCGAATATGCTCATGCCGTCACCATGCATAGCGAATGGAAAGGCAGGATGCAGCTCGATCTTCTGCTCCCTGGCATGGGGAATCCAGGTTGATTTGGGGGAGAAACTTCGGAGTCAGCACAAAGAGGGGACTTCAGAACAATGTTCCAAGAGACACGTGCATAATTCACTGTTCCTCAAGGAGGCTGTCTTTTGGGTGAAGATAAAATAATTGCATCTGCCTGGACAAAACCTGTGCAAACCCAACCATAATGCAGAGAGCTGTCACTGAGCTCGGGCCCGCTGGATCTGCTGGTGGAGGGAGGGCTGCGACCAACGGATGGAATGTAATCTGGAATAAATAAAAGTGAATTACAAAGGACAAACAAGCAGGACCAAAGAAGAGGAAAGAGACATTTTCTAGGAAATGTGTCAATAAACCGAAGCTCCCTTCCCCAAGGGCAACGGCCTTCCCAGGGGCCATTTCCTCTGGAGATGGCAAATGAGAAAGTCAGAAGAAAATTGAGATTGGTTCTATCCGTTGAGGCAGCTGTCTCAAGTTTTGTTTAGGTCACCTTACCAACGGCCACCTTGGCAGAGAAAAGGCTCATGAAAGTGGCTAAAAATATGATGGAAGGAAGTGACCCATGAATGTATGGCTAACATGAAGTAGATACAAAACTGGGATTTATTTAATCTGGATGAAAGAGGGGACACAGAGTTCAATTTTCTAAGTGTCTGACAATTTCATTATTACCAGGGAGTTTTATATAAAAACTCTGGAATTAGCAAGAGTCCATTCTCAACACCCACCTATCCCCAAGGTAAGTGATACAGGAATGAGTTTGGGACATTTGGGTACATACTTCACATTCATTATTTTAAAATGCTCATATGTACTTTCTACTCTCCTATTTTAAATGTCGTTTTGCTAGCAAAGGATGTGGGTATTCATCAGTTAAGTACAAGCAAAGATGAGAAAACAGCCTCTTACAATATTATCCCTTTAACATCAGGGCACAGGGATGAAAAGTATTGCCGTATTGTTTTATCACGTTGCTGGTTTCTTCTGTGGAAGAAACAAGATTCTCCACATTTCCTGTGCCTCCACTGTCTGAGGCTGCTCACTCTCCCAAATTCTCTTATAGATGTCCTCTATAAGGACAAGTACAATGTCCTCTATGAGGAAGCAAGTACATACTGCAGGACAACCATCAATACATGTCGAGGGAACTTAGGTCAGGCGTTGCTACCTGCTGTTAGCACAATTCCAGGGCACAGGGGACGCAGTGATGTTAGGTGGTCCCAGTCCTCACGCCGTATGCGTTTGCTAGCCGGGTTGTGGTGACCAAAATGGAGGTAGCTCTTGGTATAGAGGAAAGGACTGAGCAGGAAGCCCTGGGCATGCCCCACTTTACCTAACTACCAGCATGTGCCCCATAATGACTGCATATACCACGGTGGTCCCATAAGACTATAATGGAGCTGAAAGATTCCCATCACCTAGCGATGCATTAATGGTGCAGCACAAGGCATCTAAAAGCTCACGTTTGTGGTGATGATGGTGTAAACAAACCTCCTGCGCTGCCAGTCACGTGAACGCCTCACACATACAATTGTGTACAGTGTGTAATACTCGATAATAAATGACTATGCTACTGGTTTAAGTATTTACTGTACTTTTAATCTTTATTTTAGCATGTACTTCTCCTACTTATTTAAAACAAGCTAAGGCCGGGCCTGGTGGCTCACACCTGTAATCCTAGCACTCTGGGAGGCCGAGGCAGGCAGATTGCTCGAGGTCTGGAGTTCGAAACCAGCCTGAGCAAGAGCGAGACCCTGTCTCTACTATAAATAGAAAGAAATTAATTGGCCAACTAATGTGTATATATATATAAAAATTAGCCAGGCATGGTGGCGCATGCCTGTAGTCCCAGCTACTCGGGAGGCTGAGGCAGGAGGATTGCTTGAGCCCAGGAGTTTGAGGTTGCTGTGAGCTAGGCTGATGTGGTGTTTGTGTCTTAGTTTTTAACAAAAAAGTTTAAAAAGTAAAAAAAAAACAAACAAAAATTAAAATAGGAAAAAAGTGGCTCGGTGGCTCACGCCTGTAATCCTAGCACTCTGGGATGCCTAAGCAGGCAGATCGCTCGAGGTCAGGAGTTTGAAACCAGCCTGAGCAAGAGCCTGATCCCGTTACTACTAAAAATAGAAATAAATTAATAGGCCATCTAAAAATATATAGAAAAAATTAGCCGAGTATGGTGGCGCATGCCTGTAGTCCCAGCTGCTCGGGAGGCTGAGGCAGGAGGATCACTTGAGCCCAGGAGTTTGAGGTTGCTGTGAACTAGGCTGACGCCATGGCACTCTAGCCTGGGCATCAGAGTGAGACTCTGATGTGAAAAAAAAAAAAAGGAAAAAGCTTAAAAAGATATAAAGAAAGTATTTTTATACATCCATACACATGTTTGTTTTAAGCTGAGTGTTATTACAAGACTCAAAAGTTTTAAAACGTTAAAAAGTTTATAAAGTAAAAAATGTACAGTAAGCTAAGGATGATTTATTAATAAAGAAAGAAAAAATTCTTTTTTTTTTTCTTTTTTTTTAGAACAACTGACCTGTATGGAAGAAAAAATTCTTAAAGTAAATTTAGTGTACCCTAAGTGTGCAGTGTTTATAAAGCCTACAGTAGTGGACAGTAACGTCCTAGGCCTTCACCTTCACTCACCACTCACTCACTCACCCAGGGCAACTTCCAGTCCCGCAAGCCCCATTCATGGTAAGTACCCTACACAGATGGACCAGTTTTATTCCATATTTTTACTGTACCTTTTCTATGTTTACATACACAAATACTTACCATTGTGTCACAGTTGCCTACAGCTGCGGTCCCCAACCCTGGGGCCACGAACCTGTACCAGGCTGTGGCCTGTTAGGGAATGGCCACAGAGCTTCCATCCCCTTGTCTGTGGAGAAATTGTCTTCCATAAAACTTAAGAATGGGGGCGCACACAGCAGGAGGTGAACCGCAGGTGCACAAAGCTTCATCTGTATTTATAGCCGCTGCCCATCTCTTGAATCACCAAACAGGCTCTGCCTCCTGTCAGATCATCAATGGCATTAGGGCATTAGGGCATTAGGGCGCGCTCACAGGAGCATGCACCCTACTGTAAACTGGGCATTCAGGGGATGGAGGGTTCATGCTCCTGATGAGAATCTAATGCCTGATGATCTGAGGGGGAGCTGAGGTGGTGATGGCAGCACTGAGGAACGGCGCTGCAAAATCATCCCCAAACCATCTCCAACCCCAGTCCATGGAAAAATTGTCTCCCATGAAACCGGTCCCTGGTGCCAAAAAGGTCGGGGACCTCTGGAGGAACAGGCTATACTATATAGCCTACATGTGTAGGACGCTGTGCTGTCTAGGTTTGTGCAAGTACAGTCTATGATGTTCACAGGACAATGAAATTGCCTAACCACGCATTTCTCAAAATATATCCCCCTCGTTAAGCAATGCATGACTGTAGTTATGTGAGTTCGTATGTCATTCCTTTGGGCCCCAGTGACCTCATCTGCATAGCAGGGGAGGTGGCTAATTGGCCCTTAAAGTTGTCCTGGTCTTAAACATTCTGATTTTTCTGAAATGCACTTTAAAATTATTTTGGAAAAGAAGCTTAGTCCCTTTCAAGAAGTTGATTCTAAAGAGTTAAGAGCCTATGCAGGCTCATAAAGATGTACTAGCGACTCCACTAAGCCAATTATATGCTTTTTTTTCAGTTACTGGTAAGAGGGGTCAGGGGGAAAATTACTAAGTCTGGTTTCCATGAAAACCCCTAAAAAGCCCATCACAGGGTGGACACGCCCTCTGGACACGGTGTGTGCTGGCTGGTCATCATCTCTCCCTAGCATTCTCCCACCAGAGGACGATGCACAAGGCACAAATGCCACAAGGGCAGGAATACCAACCTGCACACACACACACACACACACACACACACACACACACACACACACAAATAAATACACTCATTTTTTTCAAACAAAACAGCTAGAGAATGACTAATGTCAAGGATAAAGCCAGCTAGAGACTTTCCTGGTGTTGTGTGTGTGTGCTGGGAAGGGGGCTGTTCACACTCTGTTGTTTTAGGATTTATTTCTAGGATCAGGTTTTAAGCCTGTAAATGACACCGACGAGTTAGATTTTATAGATAACACTGGGTAAATATTAAATTGTAGGACTGACTCAGACACGGGCAATAAACTCAC